CAGTTGACAGATATCTGGATTGTTGTCACTTTGTGGCTACTATGAATAATGCTGCTATGAACATTCATTTACAAGTTTTTGTGTGATGTATGTTTTCATCTCCTTTTGGTATATGCCTAGGAAGGGTCCTCTGGTTAGCTCAATGTTTAACATTATGAGGAATCGCCAAACTCTTCTACAGTGGTGAGAGCATTTTACATTCCCACCAGCAACTTATGAGGCCTCCCATTTTTCATATCCTTGTCAGCATTGTTATTGTCTGTCTTTTCTATTTCAGCCATCCCAGTGGATGTGATTTTGATAGTGATTTTGATTTGCATTTCTGTGATGTCTAATAATGTTGAGCATCTTTTCACATACATATTGTCCACTTACATGTCTTTGGAAAGATACCTATGCAAATCCTTTATCCATTTTTTAAAAAATAACTGGGTTATTTGCCTTTTTATTACTGAAATTAGGTGGGATCCCTTTGGAGCAGAGGAGTGACATGATCTGCTTTACAGTTTACAGGCTCACTGCTGTGCTGAGACTAGTCTGAAGGAGGAAAAGGTCAAAAGCAGGGAGACCAGGTAGGAGGCTAATGCAATAACCCAGAGAAGTCACAATGTATCTTGAACCAATAGAAGCAGTGAAGGTATGAGAAGTATTTTGATTCTGAATACATTATGAAGGTAGAAGTGAAAAGATTTCCTGATGACTTGCATTGGGTATGCAATAGTGAGGTGTTCTCAAACACTTTTGTTCTGAGAAATGGAATGATAGGGAGTGTCAGGAGTTTGATTTTGGACAAGGCAACTTTGAAATGCCTATTAGGCATCCAAGTAGTGAGGTTATACTGGCCATAGGATATACAAGTTGGGGGTGTAGAGATTACAAGTCTGGGCTAGAGATTAATATGTGAACAAAAAAGGGGGATTCTATGGAAAGTAACTTTATGAAGTGCTCTGATCACAAATTCCTAACTAGGCCGATCATGAATATAACTTTTTAGTAAAAGGTTTACCTTCTTTTTTCCTTTGCTTCAATTGGATGATTCTATTTTTTTAAGAGCTTTAGACAATTACAGAGAGCTTTTTTTTTTCCCCCAAAACACAAGAGGAAACAGGGCACATATAGTTCCTGTTTTTAAAGACAAGCAAAGGTTAAGGGAGACAAAGTCAAAGGAGTCTGCAGAAGACAAAGGAAGGGGGAAGAGGGGTCAGAGAGGGCTGAGAGAGAACACGTGAAAGAAGCAATTACCTTAGAGCTGGGCATGAAAATAATGAACACAGTATACTTCTTAAAACTGTAAAGAGAAGCAAAAAGAAAAACTGTGGTATAGTTTTCTGCAATCACCAAAGGGGGGCTTAAAATAAGCAGCAGTAACAAATCTCACAATTTATTTTAAGAGCTTAGGAAAAAACCCAATGTGGTCAGGAAATTACACATACTCTCAGAAGAATAGGAATAAACTGGTTCCCAAACTGTCTGGTTGAGAATCTTTGGGATAACAAAGAAAACACAAAATGTTCTAATAATCTGACTTTAGAAATAGGTTTGGAATATAGGTTACAAATATAGGAATTTGTAAAATTTCCATAACCAAAATGAATTGTCTTCTCCAAAGTTAGTAATACAGAAAGTGTAAAAATTAATAAAAAGACACTTTATTTAAAATTGAGTCAGGAAGCTTGAAGACAGAACCCTCATGCACCTATCCACTCACACTACTGACCCCAACAGGAAGAGAGTACCTTGCATTTCCCACAGGAAGTGATACTCCATTACCACCTCAGCAGGTGGAAGATTTCGTCTTGCCCAGCAACAGCTCAGCCAATGGGATACTGCCAGAACTCAGCCAATGAAAAGTCACTGTACTTTGAATGCTCAATTTCCTACAATGGACTCTTGGTTTACAACAGCCCTTCCCTGAGTCTATAAAAGATGTTCCTCTCCTTTGTTTCTTGAACTTGTGCATAGTTTGCCTTTATTTTTATTTCTTAATTTATTTTTTATTACATTTGCACTTTATTTTTGGATTGCGGTTTGAATTTGTATTAGTTTCAAGTGTACAGCACAGAGGATAGACATTTATATAGGTTTAAAAGTGTTCCCTCAAATAATTCAGGTACCCACCTGGCACCATTGATAGTTATTATAGTATTGTCATGGGGACATAAAGTAAAGCATAGGGAATTAAAAAATTATCTTTGTCTTCAGCAAGCTCCATCTACTATTTCTTTGCACTTGGGTCAACACACCTTTGAAATAACCACCCTAAAGAAAGCACACAATCTTGCTAACTATCTTATTCTCCAATCCCTGCTTTTTTCCACCTCATGTAATCTTACATTCTCTACTGAATTTCAAATGCATAAAAGAAGCTGCAAAACTTCTCAGGACCATTTGAGGTCTTGCTCCCCAGACCATTCATTCTGTAGCTACTCACTAGCCCTCGTAAACCTTTTATGTGACACCCTGCATTCATGTCTTTCTGATGGGTCGGAAAAGTCCCATCTTCAAACTGCCTGTGTACCTTCCCCACAGCCTTCAACTTCTCCTTATTGATGAGCTACAGGAAAAGAGGAGGAGAATGCTGGTGCCATTTTTCGGTAGGGCCCCTCTGTTTCAGGCCTCAGGTCGACTGTCTCAGGGTGACAGAAAACCTCCATAATAGGAAACTCCGTGCTTACACACATTGAGATTAGTGTTCCAGAAGTGAGTAGATTACTGTAGATTACAACTGAAAAGCACATTGTTAGGATTTGGGCTGTCACATGTTGGCTTAGGTGCAACTGTGAGACTCAGCAAATACTTAGTGTGGTATCTCGAATAAATCAAGCGTCAGAGTAAAACCTGTTTTTAAACTCACTTGACTCTTTCCCATCACCAGTAAGTGGATTTTAGTAAAAGCATCATCAGGGAACCAGAGTTTGCAACAGTAATAGCTAGAAATGCTAAAGAACTCTGGATTCGTCAGGGAAACAACCATAAAGCTTTGTTGGGAGAGCTGTAAAAGTCATGACACTTTACAGAACGTGATGATAAAATTTATTTTTCAACTCAGAGGACATGAAAACATTGAGGCAAAAGCACAGGTGCATTTATGCTGTAGATTATTAAGTGAAATAATTACTTAGCAAAGGTTGAACTGAGGTTTTATTATTATTTTAAGGACAAAGAAACAAATCACAACTTTTTATTTAATGGCACCTAGAAATTAATTTGGTAGTGTGTAAGACAACTGTAATTATCCAGTTTTGATAGAGATAATCAACAGTAAAGACATACTGTGCAAAGCCTTCAAATGTGTCCCCCAAGTGAGCAGTCTTAAGACTAGGGCCACTTTATCTATACACCCAATATTAAAGATGAATAATTGTTTCAAATGATCACCTAATTTTGCCCTATGCCTAGTGATTACAGGGAAATTTAAAAAATTGAAATTTTCTACTTTTTAAAAACATGAGGAAAGGCTTGAAATGTAAATTCCTCGCTAACTTTACTTCTTTTTTTTAAATAGACATTTGTTTTCTACTTCTGCAAAAACAAAAGATAAAACTTGACTAACTGAAATGGAAAATTTTAAGAACCACAAAGAAATCACAAAATAATAACTTCCCAATTATATTACTGAACAAGGTCTTTTTATTTACATTTCACAGACCCCCTCAAAAATTATACACATACACATACATGGTCTGTCCAGAAAAAGTTGGGCCATTGTTAGTATCACAAAAAGTTTGTGCAATATCAACGTAAACTGGCAGCCAGGGAGTGGACTGGAATGCACATGTGTGAACAATGATGACTTCACTGTACCAGTCAGTGGGAGTGGTAGATGCTGCTGAGTGAGCATGTGCACTGTGCGGCTATCGCATTCAAAATGATTGAGCAAGTAGAGCAACAAATCTGCATCAAATTTTGCATTAAGCTTGAACATTCCTCCATGGAAACTATTTGGATGATTCAGAAGGCTGCAGTTATGGGCAACTGGTGACTGGTAGCTTCATCATAACAACACACCCACTCATGCATCCTGTCTTGAGCAGAGATTTTTGACAAAACATCAAATCACTCAAGTAATTCAGCCACTTCACAGCCCAGATTTGGTGCCCTGTGACTTCTGGCTTTTCCCAAAACTAAAAATCACCTTTGAAAAGGAAGAGATTTTAGATTGCTGATAACATTCAGAGAAATACATCAGGGCAGGTGATGGTGATTGGGAGAACTGTGTGGGGTTCCAAAGAGCCTACTTTGAAGGAACTGAGGCGTCATTGTCCTATGTACAATGTTTCTTGTATCTTCTTCAATAAATGTCTCTATTTTTCATATTACATGGATACCTTCTGGACAGACCTCATACACACACACAGACACACATACGCACACACAGGAGATGTTGTTAAATAGCACATAGGAATATGCTTTCTCTCCACATTCACTCCCGGCCCAGATGAAGTATGTCAATACATCCTGCATGTTTTTCCTAATGATAGTGCGTATGTACAAACCCCTGGACCGGAGCTGCTTCCTTAGGAACTGTTTTTTCTTATGGGCATTTTCTAGTTATGTTGGTAATATTAAATCGCTGTAAGTATTTAACTTTATACTTGGTTGGGCAACACAAAGAAATAGTTTCTTTCTAATCTAGCTGCATAAATCTACCTGTAAGACATCAAATGTTTCATAAATGCTTGTGCATAAGGACACTTCATGCACAAAGTAGTCCACTTTATGCATAAAGTGTCCTTATGTACTACTTTTCTTAAGTAGTATTTTATATCAGTGCTTTTTTTCCCCTGTAGTGTACAAAAAGTCTTCAGAGCACGTACAGGACTTTTTTAAAGTATGAGATTTTCTCTTTTTTGCAATACATCCAACTTTATCAGCCATGCCCCCCACACCCACCTCTATCCCCGGAGAGTGTCAGCGGCAGCAAAGCTATCAGTTAACAGTCCCAGACTGTTTCACTTCAATTACAGTGAAATACAAACAGTGTAACAATGCACATAAAAGTCTTGGTTAAAGTATAAATGCCAAGTTTATTTAAAAAGTAATCATCCTCATCATACATACACAATAATGCATTCTAAAGCAGTCTTGGGTTTATATTGTAAGGGTTCAGAATGAGTTGCCCCGAGGTGTGCCTCGAGGCATGTGGATTTTGAACTAAAGTTAACTGAGACCCTGAAGGATAAAGAAATGTCTGCCCCCTTCCCTCAAATACCTAAAAGAATTTGAATTAGAAGCCTTGCCCCCAATAAGAGATTATCAGAAATAACCTCCTCTGACCTATGTATTTGGCAGGGCAAACTACTGATTTAAAACAAAAAGCAGTCTTGGGAATCTTTCACATCATGTGTGGGGTCACAAGTATGATTGCTCTCCTCCAGCGGCACGGCCACTTACAAGCAGAGTGTTAAGTCATCAGCTGTTTAATACCAGAATTTTTGTAAATAAGGTACTCATGAGGAGGAATGGCAAGAAAATTCAATTGCACGATTTATATTCACCTACAAAATTACTATTTCCCAGTTGTAAACCAATTACTGGGCTTGGAAAATGCTAGCATCCTCATAAATATTTTGGATACATGGTGCAAAATCTAAATTTTGTAAACTTTGAAAAAGCACATTTTTGTGACATCTAAGCATTTCCTTGAGGGCATAGGAATGTTATTCATGTAATGAAACACTTCAGCTACACTCTGGAAGAATCTCCATGAAGAAGATACCTTGAGATGGTAAGAAAAATCTGTGGGTTCATAAGTAGAGGAAAAGAAACAAGTATGAAAAGTAGGACGAGCTGAGAACTCACCCTGAGGAAGAGATGAGATATGACCAGTTGCCCTGACCCCAAACATTACTGTCCTTCTACAAACTGTGGGAATGCTTTCTCCACTGGACTTGGGAGCATCGCCATGTCCTGTGGAAGTCACGGGTCCCGAGGCATGCCCTTGTAAGAATGCGGCAGCAGCACCATGTGTGGCAACTGCACAGTGCAGGTATTCCTGAGTTTCGGATGTGGGGAAGTTGATCCCAAGTCATTCATTCTTTCTGGGAAGGAGTTGGATCACATGATTTTCTCCTTATCACCACGATATCAGTTATACTGAGAAAACTGATTGGTTGTAAGAAGCGGGTAATTCTGGAATATGCAAAAACCTTAAGAGGCGGGGCAGGCTAGGAGGAGGGCCCTGGTCTGGGAAAGGAGGCCAGCAAACCTCACAGGGGTTCACCTGGCCCCTAAAGGTGTCAGGGATTGGAAAGGGCTGCAGAAACAGAAGACAGGCCTTGTTCTTTGGAAAAGAGAGAGAAATTTGTACTTTCCTGCCTCCAAACTACTCCTGTTACCTGGACCCAAATCTCAGGCAGGTACCAAGGTCAGCTAGCTCCTTTAGGGTTTACTCCAACACTGAAGGCTTGGCCTGGGGACTCCATCACTAATGCCTGCCATTGTTTCTGTGGGAAAAGTGTTCCAAAACATACCTGTAAGCCAATAGTTTGGAATGTGACAGAGAATCCTTTTATTATGAGATTACCTACAGGCAATTCTTTATGTATACTCTTCTAGAATGTAATCAACATGCTTCGAATCTCTAAGACATATTCTATGATATATACAAAAAAAACATTTTTAAGGAAAAATGCCCAACATTTCTGTCACCAAGATGAAACTGTTGTATTGCACATTCATCCAGAGCAAAACTTCCTATTGACATTTACTACTTAAGTGATAGGCAGGCACTTCAGAATAAATGTCTCTGTTTTCAGACATAGAGCAAATCCAGTAACCTACCACTTCCACAATCCATTACATTATTAGGGAAGAGCTACAAATATTCTATATGAAAGTATTTTATATTATCAAGAGGCAATGCTTTAAGGCTACAGGTTAAGGCTACCTTGGTTATTTGAAATGTGTATAAGCAACAAAGACATTTTTTCAAAAGGCAGTATAAATTAAACACTATTTCCATCTTAGAAAAAGGCTATTATAAGCCAACTAGACATTTAAAATGGAATCTTGAATCTTATTGCTATTACCCTATTGCAGGACAGATCAGCACTCCAAATTGCCCCTTTCAGAATTAGTTTAGGCTACATCAGAATAAAGACTTTTAAAAATAAACTTTTCTTTTGTGTTTAAAGTAAAATTTATTACAATACAATAAATGCAAGTGTTATTAAAATGCTGGTTGAAATTATAAAGTATCTATATAATTTTTCTAATATAAATATTAGAAATAACTTCAACAATTCTGTATATACATAGAACATTGAAAACATAAAATCATGCACAAGGTCAAAATATAACTTTGCATATTGTCCTTTTAGGTATCACTTCTCTCTAGTATGATTCCAGAATATGAAGGGGTATGCTAATTACTCAGATACAAACTTAAAGGGCTCGGTGTGTTAAATATACATCAGTTATCACACATTAACAGTCTTCTAAAATCACTGCTTATACTACTCTGATCAAGTGGTTCTAATTCCCATATTTTCCCTTCCCAATAGGTCTTGGACATAAAGTTAAACAAGAAAACTGTGATTACAGGATCCAGAATGACATGTATTCCTAATGATTCATCAAAAGTGGCCAAAAGTGCTATATATATAAAAAGTCCCATGGGACATAAACGACGAGTACATTAACATCTAAGTAAAATTAAGCAGCTTGCCCTGTTTGCTCACTTGGTTCCATGTCTCTATAGAAAGGAGGAACCAGAGTCATGAAGAAGGGTGAATCAGAACTGCTGGGAGTGTGTGTTTGAGGGTGGGGGAGGTGCAGCACAGGAAGGAGTGGGGTAGAAGTGTCGGATTATAAAGGGAAATTGAACAAATTACCTCGCTAGTCTTCCTCATCCTACTAAAGCAGGCACTGGTTCCAGCTTGGCCTCCCTCCCTGTGTCCCGGGGAGCTCTGGGGCTATCGTGTCCCCCAGCACTGGGACAACAGCCACTGCCGTTTTCAGACAAGGTGAAGGCATGCCTAGCTGTTCCTTACTGAGAGCAATTCATAAATACGAGGAACAGCCTATGTATTACAGGTTTGGACATTTCGCAAACACCAGAGTCTGAACTAGGCCTCAACATAAGGGCAGGTGGAACAATTACAAATGAGCAGCTAACACCCAGAGAGGTTAAGGGGCACAGCAACGGGAAAGAAAAGGAAACTGTATGTAATGCTTAGTCCTCTACGACAGCACGTCTCATCCAATCCCTTTGGGTCTGGGGTGGGGCCTCAGGTTCTGCGTTTGTAATAAGCACCTAGGCGATGCCCGTGTTCTTGGTGTATGGACAACACTTTGTGAAGCGAGGGTCCACCACACGAAGAGGGGCCACTGCTGTCTCTCTAGGCCACAGGTGTATCTTGGAAGTCCTGAGCAGAACTGAGACCTGCTCCTATCCAAGCACATCCCCAGGTAAAAGGTGTAGATGTGCTGCTTACATAGGCAACTGTCTATGAGACTGTGTTACTGTGTTTTCTGAGAGCACCATGACTATGTGAACAGCCAGACAGCATGATTCAACTCGAGTAAATGGAATGATCTATTTGCTGGTAATAAAATATGTAGTCCTACTTAAAGTGAACAGGATATAAAGTATAAAAAAACCCAGCATATTAAATTTCATAGTAAAAGGCCACATGTGCACATACATACACATCGTATGAGTTTTAAGGAACTAAATGCATATTATCAGAATGCAGTGCTACCACTGCTCCCAGCTAAAATCATCTCCTCTTCCAAACACAAGGAAAAAACCTTGAATCGTCAGGAAAATGACCGCATTGCCAGCCAGCACAAGACCACAGGCTCCCCATTTAATCTGAAACAAAAAAAGAGGATTAAATCTTTGCTTGCTTCATAATGTATTCTTTGAAAATCTATTATTTTCTTCATTAGAAACATCCAATGAAATATTACCTAAAACTGCTAAAAGGCTTAATGTACAGGCGGAGGCAGTGAATTTACTCAGTAATTAGTGTAATTACTTCATGAGGCCTGTTAATTAAGGGCACTATCATCCTTAACATTTCCCCCATTAGACATACCTATCTCTCCACTTGTTTTCAGTAGACAATGACGGCCCTGAGTAAAACACAGGCAGATGACAAAGGGTCCCACCGCACAGTGGGCACTGAAACTTCTGTGCACACTGCCTTTTGTCATGAAAATAGGAATTGGAGAGTTAAGGACTGATCTGTTTCTTTTCTAGGCAAGAAAAGACCAAAAAAAATCTGCATGCAAAGGAAAACAGCCTTCTGGAGTGGCCCAGGGTTTCGGAGGCACAGCTGGGGACGACAGCACCCTCTAGTGGGCATTTTTTGTTTCAATTTAACTAACAGAAAACATCAATGAAAGTTCCTTCACAAAACATGCAGTATTGAAAGGGAAATAAAAGAGACATTTTTAGAACAAAATTTAGGAAGTACTTAGTCTGAGATATAAAGAGAATAAGGTCATGACAATCTTGTGTTCAAATGCCATCAAAGCTCCCTTGTTACCTAGACAGAGTGCAAACAGGCGCCACATCCGAGACCCTCTCTGTGATGTGCTTCACCAACCTTCCTAACCTCAATCTCGATCACTCCTTTTTACTTCCATCATATTGGAATACTGCTCTTTTTTCCACAAATTGATTGCATTTTCTCACTCGGGTGCCATTCGATTTAATAGCGTTCCCTACTTCAATCAAAACCCTATTTATCAAAAACCGCATCAAATGCCAGTTGGAATTTCGCTGTGTTCCCAAGGCATTGTGATCCTGTTTCAATGACCCCACTTATCATATGCTTACCTATCAGGCTAGTTTCTGTCCTCTTTGGGAACAGAGACAGCACCTGACTCTTATTCCTGGTATCTTACAAATAGCAAATGTTACAAAAAATATTTACTAAATGAATAAACAAGACTTGTACATATCTTATATTCAATGCCCCCAATAAGTTTCATGAAATTGAAACCGTATGTAATTGGGGGAATAAGAACAAAGAGTATGAAAGACAGTGAATGTCAAAGAAAGGAATAAATTATACCCACAATGTGTTTTTTATTCACTGTATCTTCAAAGAGCTATATAGTTGCCCCTCAACATATGCCTATTGTGTTGATTTGAGGACTGTGTCCATGTTCCTCCAGGAGAAGAATCTGATATGATGCTGTGGTACTGTGATTTTTAACAAATACTTGGTCTTCTTCTCCTCTCTGGCACAGAGACCTAAAACACTTGGAACTTCTAAGTGATAACAGTGATAAATGTGACTTTTATTTTGTTAATGAGGTGACTTTTAGGAAGCACCTACGGATGAGGGCTGGTGCCCAGAGAGGTTAACCATGTGATTAGAGGGGTTAGAACTTTTGGTCGCCCCTCCTACCCTGCCCACCTCTGGGGAAGGGAGAGGAGCTAGAGATTAAATCAGTCACCAATGATCAATGATTTTATTGATCATTCCAAAAAGCACCAAAAGGAAGGGATTTGGAGAGCGTCTGGGTTGGCAATTTGGTGATATGAGCAGACTGTACTCCAAGAAGACAAGGGAGCTCCTTGCCCCTCCCCATGCCTTGCCCTATGCATCTCTTACATCTGGCTGTTCCTTTCATAACAAAGTAGGAATCTAGTGAGTAAACGGGTTTCCTGAGTTCTGTGAATAAGTCAATCAAACCCAAGATTAGGGTTATGGGGACTTCTGATCTACACAGCCAATCAGTCAGAAGCACAAGTGCACAAGTTGACTGGCAACTGAAACAGAGGACAGTCTTGTGGGACTAAACCCTTCACACGTAGATCTGATGCTCTCTCTGGGTAGACAGCGTCAGGACTGAGTTGAACAGAAGAACACCGAGCTGGTGTAGAACTGCTTGCTGGCGGTGTGGGGACCCCGTTCCACACACACTGAAACTGGGTGATCAGGAGCCAATTAGACGTTTACTTTGAAGCTAGAAGAGTACTGCTATTGTAGTCACTGTGGATTGCCCTATGCTAAGAGGCAAGGATTTAAGAACAGTTCCAGAAAACTGTGGAATAAAGTACAATATAAAAAAACAAAAAATCACTTGATCATGCTAAAAGTTGTAAGAACTAAGAAAACATCCTGAAAACATGGCCAAGATATTGACAGATCTAAAATGTAGACTAGATTAACTAAAAGTATACCTGGCCTTGAATATTAAGTCTGGGCAATAAAAAAGAAATTGAGGTTCCAGATGCAGGCCTCTGAAGTAAACTCAGAGACAAACGGGCAAAACGACTGAGAACAAAACTCACCACAGCCACACGAGCAAGAATAACAGGAAATCCAAAGGCAGAGACAACGATTCCAGTGGTGAAAAAATAGGCCAGCTCCCGACAGGCACTGCTTGTTGCATCCGAGTCATACGTGGCTCTCTTGGCAATGAAATAGGGAATGGGAGAGATGACGTGAAATACCAGGACGAACAGGGGCCAGTACACACTGTCGGGTGGACCCAGAAGAAATGCAAAAGGAAAAGTTACGGTTAAGACATTCTACTGTTTCAAGGTTAATATTATTTTAAATGTCTAGGCCCCAAAATTATTTATTCAATTGTCAGTATTAGCACTTAAGAAAATTTCTACCAGGAACACAGAAGAAATAATGGTCATTAAAAATTACTGGTCATTAAAAATTACTAGTCATTAATATATAGATAAATGACACTGTGTTAAGAAACTGCATGACTGCATACATGAAACCTATAAAATTTTATTAACCAATGTCACCCCCATAAATTCAATTTTAAAAGAAACTACATATATGTATCATCTAGAATCTTTACTGTTTTCTGTAACTACTGAGCTGTAATTGAAGAGCAGAAGCTTTAAAAAAAAAAACCCAGAAGCTTAATTGACATCTTTGCTTTCCCTATAGAACACAGCACAGTGGCTTGCACACGCTAGTTCAATAAACACTTGTTTTAGTGCTTGCACGCTGGAAACCTTTCAGTGAGTCAAAATAAAACCGAGATTCCTTGCCCTGACCTACAGTCTTACACGAGTGGATCAACTGACTTTATTTTGTGCCGTCTTCCCTGCATTTGTAGCCACACTAGCCTTCTTTCTGCTCCTTAAACGACCCCATCCTTCCTCTCCGGCCTTTGTATGGCCTTTGCTTGGAATGCTCCTCCCCCTGATCCCCTCATTGGCTGGCTCCTTCTTATCATGCAACCTAACCTGAGAGGTCTCCTAATGATGGTTTAACCAGAGCATCCATTTGAAACACCTCAAGTCACCCTTTGAGCACATCCCCCTCTGAACTTTCTACCCAGCACTTATTCCTACCTGGTATTCTCTTGCTCATGAGAACAGGAATCTGACTTATGTCTACCGATCACCACTTATGTCCAGGGCCCAGAATGAAGTGCTTCATTAACATTTATTGAATGAACAAAATAACAAATAGATTTTAACTTTGGAAGACATGAAAATAGATATGCTTATTAGTAAAAACTTAAGATATACTCTAATCTTTATTATAAGAGGTCACAATAATTCTGTAATGCAAAACATAAACACTATTCTCAAATTTCAATGTTTTGAACGTATAAAAATTGCCATCTGCTTTCCAATTACATTTCCTCTATAAATACTTCATAAGTATTTTTCTCCATCAGTTAGACATTTATTATATTTTATTCCATGGGAGGGGGATATAGGCATAGCTTCTACTCATACACACCCATACACACACATACACACACATACATACATACACCATAATAATACAGATCACCACAATGCCTTGATGAACACAGATCTACCAGGACAGCCAACACCTCCACGCAGGAGTTGGTGTGAAGCCACTCTGTAACGAAAGCTTCCCATTTCTACCACACACCTAGGAGGGCAGGATAGTTAACCAAAAAGCAAAAAAGGAAAGTGCCCTTAGGAGACTCAGGACAGAAACTCTGAGTTGGGACTTCTAGTTTTACACTATAGGAATTATAGTGTATTTCAAGAATCACCAAACAATATTGTGGGGAGGGGAGGGGAGGGGAGGGGAGGGGAGGGGAGGGGAGGGGAGGGGAGGGAGGGGAGGGGGGGGAGGGGAGGGGAGGGGAGGGGAGGGGAGGGGAGGGGAGGGGAGGGGAGGGAGGGGAGGGGAGGGGAGGGGAGGGGAGGGGAGGGGAGGGGTTTCTACAAATTCTCTAGTTCAAGGCCTTTTTAGTACCAGTGAGGAAAGACACCGGAGAAGAGGTCTGGAACAGACCCAACTGTTGCCTGACATACCCACGGCCAAGAGCTCTTAATTCTTCCTAGAACACAGTAAGTTTTCTAAAGAAAATCTGACTATGCTCCCATTCACAGTTAGTTATCGTGGTCAAAAGCAGGGGTGGGGGTATGTACACGTTCAGTGACGGAAAATAACCTAACAGCATGATCTGGCCTTACGTTCCTAATGAGCAGGTCACAGTGGGTAGTGACACCCAGGCATGTGACTTCTTTAGTAAAAGATTTTTCTTTGTCTTAGGCCAGCCCTATCTGTTGTGTGTGTGTGTGTGTGTGTGTGTGTGTGTGTGTGCGCGCGCGCGTATTGAGGTTAGCGCCCCTCTGAAACAAGAATAATCACCCTCAGGAGAGTATATAACCTTAACTGTCCTGCATCTTGCTTTCTCCACCTTCGTGGGACCTCCCTGACACGCCCTCCTTGACGTCAAATGTGTAAAAGAAATGACAAAACTGTCACTCTCCCAAGCATTTGAGATCTTGTTTCCAAGCAACTGTGGTCAGTTTTGGCTCAAATAAACTCATAAACATTTTCTACAGGTTTGGACATTTCTTACATCAACAATATAAATTGTAAAAGCTTCCAAAACAAAATTTGGACCCAACTGTTCTTTTATACACTAGTGAGTTTTTCTCAGGGCCAGAGGTCTCTGTGTGTGTCTGTTTATGTCCACATAGGAATGCTGAAAATGCGAGACACTTCTCAACCTCCAAGATGGCATGACTGAAATTAATTTAAAGGCAAGCACTTGTAAGAACTGGGTATTTTAAAATCCTCAGATATACAGAAACTAGCTCAAATGCTTTTTAAGTTCACACGATCTAAGATTAATCCTTAGTAAATAAAAGCTAGTTTAAGTTTGTTGGTTTAAGTAGAAGACATGTCTTTTAAGTTGATATTTTAGACATAATATATTTATATTACATTTTACTTGGGGTTTTATAAAAATAAGTCCATGTTAATAATTGACTTTGATGTCTATGAAATGTTTCTAGAGGTTACAAAATGTCTTCGTATACATAACTTCTTAGTTTTCATTAGAAATTGAGGTTGTAAGAGTTAAAACCTCAATATACGTTGGAATAACTTTGCTGTGCTGCTGGAGGGACCCTGGAACAACGCAAAAAGGCTTGTTTTCTCTCCTTACAAAAGAGAAATTTTAAGCTATTCAGGCATTTTTTAAATGTTAAGCTGCATGGGCAGCGCTGTAAAGTGACGGAGGACGCTAGGGCGTGTCCTGCGGGAAAACGATGGCTGTAAATTAAACGAGTAGTTGGGGTGTGGGAAACTCAACACGGCTGCTTGGTTCCTCGAGGCCCCTGGCAAACCCCATTTTTTACTCGGTGTTTACGTTCCTTCACGTGTCATAGTGCATTCAAATGCGCTTAGACGAGATGAAGGAACTTAGGAGCTAACACTATTGAAAGGAGACATTTTACAGCACTGGGAAGGTTTGATGGAGTCACTTCAAGAAAACGCTAAATAGGTAACTGCCTCCTTTCCTGGGAAGCAATCAGGAGACAAGACTTTAAGAATTATCAACTATCGCCTTGTGATTTTGTTTACTGGAAAGAATATCAAATAGAGGCACTCTCCAACCTCACGGGAACAGGCACCTAACCACGAATGGACAACCACCCCCATCTCGGACACTCGCCTCTGCCTACACCAGACAACGAAGCCTCCTCTAGGATAAGAAGCTGCTGATGGAGGCTGACCACTCTCCCAAGACACTGACGAACGAGGCCTGTGTTTCTAGAGATTGATGCTGAACTCAGAAACCAATTTGCTTGACTGTCTTTACTTGTATGCTCATGATATTAGTTATAATGATATACTTGTTCTTTGGGTTTTGCTCACAGTTCAACTGTTTATAAGTACAAAACTTAATAGTTTTAATAGCCATATAAATGTAATACTAGATGCAAAACACCGAAAAATGAAACAGATGGCAAGACTCAGATCATGAGAGTTTATAGGGCAGAAATGACCCAGAGTGTTCTTCGTAATGAAGGCCCACAACACCTGACCACCTTCCATTTACCTGCCCTTCCCTTTAGGGAAAATTCGGCCCCAACCCACATCTCAGGGTTACTGTATTGCCCCGCTCCCACTGATCCACCATTTCAACAAGATGACCACCCTCCCCTGAGCCCCTCTGCCCATTACCCTTTACTCTTCATAACACTTCTACCTCTGACAGCATGTACATTTTAAAATCTGTTTCTTGTCTGTCTCCCCCACTGAAATACAGACTCCAAGCAGGGCAGGACTTTTGTTTTCTTATTTCTGAATCTCCAGTTCCCATTAACTGTAGCTGATACACAGTAAGCACTCAAACAACAGTTGCTGAATAAAGAAATTTGTTGAATGTTCCCTCTGCCTGAAATGCCCTCCCCTGACTTGGCCCAATAATCTAGCTTATCCACGAGGTCTCGGCTTAAAGACGACTTCTATGCAGCCCTTCCTGACTCTCCTGGGGAAACCCTGATGCATTTTCCAGAAGCTCTCACTGTACTTTTCACACATCCCCACGACAGGGGCCGTCTTCCTAATGGCACTGTTTGCCGGTCTCTCCCTCGGGACTAGAACGATGAGCTCCTTGAGGACAGGACTACGTCTCTTCATTTTTGTAGCCCCAGCTGATCCAGAGAAGATATTCAATAAATGCTTATTAAATGACTATATCAACTGTAAAATGAGTGTTTCTCTACACAAGTACAGCTGACCCATGAGGGGACTGAGTTCATAATTTGGGCTTCACTAATTCTTTGGTTAGAGCTTGGTGCTAAATTGACCAAACTCCCTAACAGCCATTACACACACACACACACACACACACAAACAAATAGTGACAAAGACACAAAATGAAGAATAGGGTTTTTTTAAATAACTTACCCATAATCTTCTAAGGCACATCCCAGCATAAGAAAAGTCAGTCCAATGGCCCCACTGAAGGATAATAACACAAGAGCTGTGAAAAATAAAACCAAGAGTTATAGGTTCCAGATCACTGGGTGCCAAGGGCTGGAGGAGGAGGGGCAAAGTGGGGAGTGACTTATTAATGGGTATGGAGTGTCCCCTGGGGGTAAGGAGATGTTTTAGAATTAGATAATGATGATGGTTACACAACCTTGTGAATGTACTAAACACCACAGAATTTAATACTTTAAAAGGGTCAATTTTGTGGTATGTGAATTACATCTCAAAAAATTTTTTAATTAAAAAATAAAAGGTCCCCAATTAAGCAGATGTAGCAATTCACTTATTAGCTGATGTTATATTTGACTAGCAAATCAGTGCCTACATCTGTCTCTTTTAAATTACAGTATTAGTCTCAAGAAGTTCCAGTGCCCGGCTTCCATCTAAGGCACGAATCCCCTCTATTTCTGTCACAAGCAGCCGGCCAGCCAACCTCTACAACTCCAGCGAAGGGGGCCTCATCATCTCCTGAGGCAGGTCACTGCATCTGACAGTTTCTAAATGTTGAAATCCTCTTTCCTTAAATTATATGCAACACGGCTTCCCTGAAATATACACACTTTGATCATTTTTGCCTCCCCGAAACTTAGTACTTTTAAATATTTGCAAATTGCCTTCATGTCTTCCTAGATTCTCAACTACTGAATAAAATATGTATTCCTGGCATCTGTGTCTCTCCTTACACTGCTGACTTGTTAAAATTCTTGAGTTCTGAGTCACTAACATGGGTTCAAATCTCCTCTGCCTCCAACTGCTTGTGTGAACCTCTTTAAATCTGATTTCTCTTCTGTAAAATAGTAATAACAGTGTAACTTCATTAGGAAGCTCATGGTAATTACATGAGATAAATCTGTGGAAAGTACTGGGTGAAAGGAGGAGCCCAGTAAGTAAATATTGATTGATGTAGGTATCTGTTCATTTTAGCAATGTTCTTTGAATAAAGAAATAAATTAGAAGCATCGGACACTATATTACCCAAATTTGCTTCTGAAAAAAAAAAATACAAGATCCAGCACAAATAACACCCCTTTTAAAATACAAAGTCTTTGATTACAAAATCATAAGCATGTAATTCTGTAACATAACAATATCACACTCAAGCACACTATATGACATGTTAGGTGAAACATTCGAATTAAAACTAGAAACTATTGCACTCATATTATTACCTTACCAACCACACTCAAGCAGCTGTTACTTCTGCTGGACCCTGTACGGAGCACTCAAAATTCCTCACTGACTACACTAGTTAGCGTTCAGATTGCTTCCTGTTGCAACAAGGAGATTTGGGGAAGCGGGGCACTGTTCTATAGGAAGATGCCAAGGTGCTTTTACAAAACATTTAGAAGTATACAGATATTAAAGGACAAGGAAGAACTTCAATTCTAATTTATACATATTTTTCCATTTAGTCGATGTCACTTTTTAAAGAAAGCAGTATAAAAGTAAGTTTTCATGTTGTTTCATTAGAGAGCATCTCTTCCTCGTTAGTTTGTTCCCACCCTACGCCTGACCATCACTCTCCGGCACAGCCGCTGCAGCTGGGAACCGTAGCCGTCTTCCTTCTAGTCTGTGACACCAGCCTCTCCAGGTTCACAACCTTGTATCTCCAGTAGATTCCTTTTAGCCCTTTTTCCTTTTTTAGGAATTGCATCCTCTACGTCTCTTAAAGATGGAGCTGACCAGATTCCAACTTCATCTCTTTCCACTCTACACTCCTGCTGTGACATTACCTTCAACTCAAAGTTCCCCGGTACCACAAGGGCCTGGCCACACGAATGCTGCACGTCCAACTCCAATCTTGACTTCTCTGCCTGAGCAGCCAACAAGGACCTCACATTCACATGTAAAAAACTGAAGCATCCCAGGCCACCTCCTCACAAAACACGTCTCCCCTTTGAAGGAAGGTTCTATCTTGAAATACCAATACCATCGTTGCACTCCACTTTACAGAAAAACAGCAAATCAAGGAGATCAATCTCCCAGACCTCACTGCTACAGATTGAAAGCTTGTATCCCACCCCCAACCCCTCAACAATTCGAGTTATATCCTAATGCCTGTGTGACAGTATTGGGAGGTGAGGCTTTGGGAGGTGACTAGGCCAGGAGGGCAGAGTTCTCATGGATGGGATTAGTGACCTTATAAGAGACCTCAGAGAGATCCCTCACCCCTTCCACCATATGAAGGTACAGCAAGAAGACAGTTTTCTATGAACCAGAAAGCAGGCCCTCATCAGACATCAAATCTGCCAACAACTTGATCTCGGGCTTCCCAATCTCCAGAACTAATAAATTTTTGGTTTAAGTCATCCAGTTCATGGCAGCACTGTTCTCTTGAACCGTCCCTCTGCTGCCGCCCTGGTGTAGGCCCTTATCATCTCAGGCCTGGCTCTAGTCATCCCTTCCACTCCACCCTCCACACAGCAGACAGTGATGTTGCAAACAGATAAAGCTGGTGTCACCCCTTCGCAGCTGCTTTCAAGCCTACAAGCTGTTCTGGCACTTGAGGCTCAACATGGCCTAGCCCCTGACTACCTCCCTCACCACTCTCCCACTACATTCCAGTCTCAATAAGATAGTTTAAGCTCCTGGAGAGAACAAGGTGTGCTCTTTCATGCCCCCTGCCCTAGGTTACATGCTGCCATCACCCCATGCTTTGCCAGGTGAAGCCTTATCAATCCTTTTAGCTTCAATTCAAGGATTACTTCTTGTGTAGAAGTGGTCCTCTTGGTCCTTTGAGCAATGTTAAGTGACCCCAGCTGTGTTACTTCAGCTGCTATTAACAATGTACCAACCGGTGGCTTAGAACAGAAATTTATTTTCTCACAGTTCTGGAGGCTTCACGGTGTCAGCAAGACCATGCTCTCTCTGAAGTTTCCAAGGAAAGAATCCTTCCTGCCTCTTCCTCACTCCTGGTGGTTTCTTTGGTGCTCTTTGGCTTGCAGCTGCCTCATTCTACTTTCTACCTCCATCTTCACATGGTGTCTCCACAAGGTGTCCCTATATGTCTCTATGTCCACATTCCTCTTTGCTTATAAGGACGCTAGTCGTTGGGGTAGGGTCCAATCTAATTCAATAGCATCTTAAACTTGACTACATCTGCAAAAACCCTATTTCCAGATAAGGTCACACGGACAGATCCAGGGGAGTTAGGAACATAGTTCAACGCACAACATCATCTGTGCTCCCACTGTATCTAAGCACACCTCAGTCAATTAAATAATAACCACTTACAACTCTGTCGTCCAGTAGTAATTTATCTTTTAATCCCAAACCTCATGTACACAGTAATCCCTCAAGGGTTGAACTACCAGAAAATATGTCCTTCCCTCAATCCCTTTCTATTTCACAACCTAGCTTCCTTCACAATTTCTAACACATTCCCACATAAACATTATTATTTGATAGTTTCTGGGCATGACTAAATGCAGTACAATTCTGAGATGTTACTTGTTGCCTATTTTCTGCACTGGCTTCAAATGGCTGTATTACTCACAGGAAACTGTCCAAATAAATCATGTTTACTAAACTGATGTTGAAATAAGCCATCCAGAAATAATGATAAAATATGTCTGCTGCTAATAGATCACCTACTGATATATTTCACAGTGAACATACACGTGTGTAAATACACTTTATACAGGTTTATAGCAGGTGGGGAGATCTTTGGGTACACATTTCAAAGAGAATAGAACTCCAACAAAAAAAACAAGTCATGCTACTCTATTCAAAAGATTAGAAATCTAACGGTTTCCACCCAAAAATAACAGGAAGCCTTCCAGTAACCTCTCCCTCGGCTGGCATCCCCCATTCCCCAGAAGGCATAGATAAGGGAAGAGGTGTTCTTGGTACCCCCTTTTTATCAAGCACCATTCAAAAACACATATCTGCACAAATACCACTTTCTTGTTTGTCCAAAGATGAAAGTAGCAATAAAATTTCACCTAATGTGCTTTCCACGACTATGAGAAATATAGCTCTTCTGGGCGCTTCCCATTAACACCCGCCTGCCGTCAACTCCGCCCAATAGGAAAAACTACCAGGAACAGGAGGATTAAGTGCCCCAAATCTGAGAACGATGGAGACAATAGCTCCTCTGGAAGAAACTGGAAAGTGCGGGATGTCAGGAAAAGACAGAGTTGTTAGGGTGCACTTGTCAGGAAGTGGAAACCTCCTCAATAACAAGGCAGACGCGGGTGGGGGTGAGGGTGGAGGGCAGCTCCTAGGCACTGCAGCCGGTGCAGTGATGCCCCGGGGTCGGGATCCGGTCTCCCAGGCAGGCACCGCTCCCCGCGAGGGTGCCTCCTTGAAGGTCCGGAGGGCCAGGGGAGAGCGTGAAGGCCAGTGGCCTGGCAACAACAACAACAACAAAAGGGCTGAGGTTCCCCAAACATCCTTCCACCCGCACCCCACGAAACGAAGGGAGTGAGCGAGTGCTTTCCACCCAGGAGGGCGGGAAGCGTAGTGAGTCTGGGGGAGGTCGCTGCCTGCCTACGCGCTGAAAGCGCAGCTCCCAAGCCAGGCCGCAGCGGAAGCGCTGACCCCACCGCAGGGCCAGCGAGCTGGGGTCCGCGGATATACCTTTAATCCCCGCCATGTCTCCAGAGCTGAGGGGCTGAGGCGCAGCTGCTTCCGGCTTCCTGCCACAGACCCCGCCCTTGCCCGGCCGGGGGCTGGACCACGGGCCCGAGCCCGCCCCCTCCCCCCACTCACAGGCCTGCCCCTCACAGCCCCGCCCCAACTCGTCCATAACCCCGCCCCCATCTCTCAGAGCCAAGCCCCCATCTGCAGAGCTCGGCTCCAGTCTCCCAATCCAGATCCTGGGCCATCCCAGCAAACCCACATGCTGCCAGTAACCTTGACCTTGCTCTGGGAGCCCAACTGCTATGTCCTGAGCCCACCTCAGAGGGCCATGTTGTACTTAACTTTCTTCAAGGGAATGGCAAGTTTTGCTTGTTGGGGCAATCTGGAAGAGTACTTCATTTGACCTTTACGGAAATAGACTCAAAAAGGTTTAGGAACCTCAGCTCTTTGGAGGTTGGATTAGGGGCCATATATCCTCTCATTCTAACCAAGAACCACTTCACAGTATGGTGCTTTCCTTCCCTCTATTGCTTTTTTTTTTTTTAACTTTCTAATGAAACAAAGATAAACGGGTTCATGGGAACTCAGGTTCCCCTGGCTACCTGGAGAAGTACAAATCCTCACCACCACGTTTCCGATTCCTGCTCCGTTTACTTTTGCAAAAACTGTATACAGCATATTATTGTCTCCGCACGTGCAATTACCTGTGACTTTATTCTTCTGGTTCCCTTCATGTCTCCTCAAAGATGGAAGGTACATTTATTTAAAACACGGTTTTGCTAATACCTGGCCCCTGCAGATCCCTGAAGATCCAGAATTATACTGCACTCTACTTTGTAGCTACAATCTAGTCAAGACAGTTGAGAACTCTTTCCCTGTTTTGGGTATCCTATTCTTTCTAATACCTGTTAAAAGTGCTCAGGGGAAACTACCTATCGCCCAAACACCCACAGTCTGTCTTTTTTAGCTCACTTACTGTAATGCCATGGTGCTCTCAAGAGGAAGTTAAGATTTTGTTCTCCTAAATTGATGAGGATTTCCTAATTGATCAAATCTGTTTCCCCTTTTATTGCCAACCACTCAGCAAGTATCTGGAAAGCCATATATGTTCTCTAGAGCCTTCCATGTCAACCTCAGGCTAGCCCCACAGGAAGAAATTATTTTGGAGAAAAGTGACATTTCTTCAGAGGTACAGCTTGGTTTGAGTGCCTTAAGCTTAGCAGTATGAAACTAGAAGGCTGTTTGAGGAGCAAAAAGATGAGGTGTTCGCCCCAGGGTAATGTCAAGATGTAGAAAATTGCAGAGCAAGGATTGGTCTCCAGGTTTCCTGCCCACAGCAGCTGTCCTTCCCAGCTTACTAAGCACTTAGAGAGAAAATTAGCCATCTTGCTCGAGGCTTTAACCATTCTGCTTCTCTCTTGCCAGATGCTGCACTGAAAAATTGGTCTTTTACTTACCCATTCCATGTTTCTTCTAGAATAAGTGTCACCAAAAACAGAAAGTAAAACCTTGGAAGCTTGAACCCTCTCGCAGACTTGCCATTAATGCGTTATTCAGATATGTAAGATTGTGCCCTCTGTCACACTGTGCAGAACTATAGTGATCATCTTTGGAAATATGTTTCTATTTTCTGCTTGCATTCGGTTCTCTCACATTATAAACTACATCTTATTATCTCCATTTTACAGATCGGAAAACGAAGCCTCAGATATTAGTAAGTAGTGAGTAGGGAAGCTGAGGTCAAGCCCCAGTTCAACTCTGAAGTCATATAGTCAGCACTTGTGCAATGGATCTTGCACACAAATAAGGCAGGAAATGTCATAGTAACTAGAAACAACAGCCCCTTATATTTAACAGAGCAATAAAATCTGTTCATTAATTTGATTTTCCCTTATATGTCCATTTGTATCTTGCATAAAGCATACACAAGCTAATGGCAGAATAACAGAAACTAATAAAGTTAACCTTATATATTATAGCATCTCTCCCTATCCTACAGAAAAGATCTATCCTCAAACTCCAGTGCTGAGTAAACCTCTTCATGCATCCATTTCCTGGTGTAGGATTTACAAACCATCCTCTCATTGTTGAGGATGAAATGAGAAAGAGTGTATGTATCTATGTAATAGCACACAGGGCCATGCATGAAAGACAGATGTAATGGTACTGCTCTGGGGTGGGCTCCCAAGTCCACGCATAAGTTAAATGCAACTACGGTGCAACACTGTTGAAATCAGTTGATGTTAGTTTTCTTTCCTAAGTCTCAACAACTACTCTTTTCATAGTCAGCCCCTTCACAAAATTAACAAGGCACGTCTCGGCCATTATATGCAGACAGATCTCTGTCAGGCCAAGGAGACAAATAAGAGCAAGGCCCTGGTGGGGTCGGTCAGCTGGTTAGAGCATCACCCTGATACCCCCAGGTTGTGGGTTCCATCCCTAGTTAGGGCACATCAAAAATCAACCAAGGAATGCGTAAATAAGTGGAACAGCAAATTGATGTTTCTCTCTCTAATCGATCAATAAAAACTTTTTAAACAAAAAAGAGCAAATTGGTTGCCTGTTCCTACTCATGTTATCCACTTCCCACAACCTGAGGTTTCAGTGTAACTCCAACTTCAAGACTGACCTGCAGCAATGCACTTACGGACTCTTTACAACAGCAACTACTGTTTAGTGAGCACCCATTTAATAACAGTTTATTTGTACAGTCTCTAATTCCGCCGTTACAGGGCTGTTGGGATTATCTCTATTTTACAGATGATAAGATTAAGACTTAGAGACTTTTAAGAAACTTGCCCAAAATAACAGTCTTAAGTGAAAAAATCAGATTCAAACTCAGTCTTCTGGTCTCAAATCAATACTGTACCATTATGCACACACCATGGTTTAGCTTTAGAACAACCAAAACGTGTTTACTTGACCTAAATTCCCTGACAGATGTTTCCACTGGGGGAAACTGTCCTGTTGCTGTGAGAACTATTTCTGGAATTCAACCTCTGTGTTCATTCCTTAAACAGTGGTGTTTTTCAGCAGCATTAGGACTCGGCTTGGGTTTTCTTGCAGACACAGACAATACAGTGATGGTTCCAATGCTTTTGATTGGCAGCATTTGCTTTCAAATGAACATGCTGCTTCTGTCTGAAAAGAACTAAACTATGTTTTCTATGACGAAGTCTCAGACTCCTGGGATCGATGCCTCTGCTTCAGTACCCGAAGGAAGCTCAGTAAGACCGTTAATATTCTAGTTAGGAGATCGGGATTTCTAGGCCGAGTCTTTTTGAAACACAGTCGTCATGCAGCATGACCCAACTCTGTGGGCCTACGGGGCAAGGATGGCAGTGGGGACGGTTAGAGCATAAATCCGGAAATACTGTCAGATTACATTTTGGTACAAATGTGCATGTGCTTTTCATATTCTTTCCCCATAACTTTTCTTAAATGTGATCATGTCAGGAGGTATAATTTAAGTTTGTCATTATATTCCTATGAGTGCAAAAATAACTTAGATTTCTACAAATATTTTTGAGCCTTTTAATATACATTACAAATATTTTAGACCAATCACATTTTGTTGTGTGTAACATATTTACAAAACAAAAATATATTACAATAAATACGAATGAAACAGTGAATTTGATCAACAAGAAACTCTGTCACGACCAGATATTTAAAACGAATGCAAAAACCTGTTGGCCTGCGTATGCTAAGGGTTTTGAGATAAACAGGGGCCCAGAGTTATAATGTATCCAGAAAAGAGATGGGTGAACCCAAAGTTAAGTTAGTTAAGATTCTTTCTCATTGCTAATTATGTAATGTTTAATGACGTTTTAAACTGTGGACATTGATGAATTATTCATGATTCAAACATGATTCAAAGCTAATATAGTTCTATCATTTCAGAATGTATGTGACATTCACATAATATCCTTTTAATTATCATCATTATATACTGTAGTTCACACAATATCTACAATTGTGAATGAAGAAAAAAAACGAGTCACAGCAACATGTCTCACATTCCAATTTTAAATAAGACAAGCACATACTGGATCAAATATTATTTTATAATACGTTAATAAATAACACCTAGTTTGTTATGGTTACCTTGAAGAGTTGACAGCTGTAGATTTTAAAAGAACATTTTTCTGCGAGTTTCACTTTGTGAATAAAAATTGAAATAAAAAAAGAACACTTTTAATGAAAAAAAGAAAATTCTATATAGAACGTAAAGCATATTTTTTCTTTTTTCTCATTTGGAACATAAAGCCTTTTTAACATGCTGCTTTTCTAGTAGAGTTTGCCATAAGAAAATTAAAATAGAAACAAAAAAATGATTGTCTTTGAAAAACAATGTTTGAAAGCTTTTCCCAATGCTGAGCATGAACCTTTGAAAGTCAGCATGGCAATCCTCCTGCCCTTCTGCTCTGCACATGCGTACTGTACGCACTGAGTGCACGCGCGCCAGAGAGACCTGCTGAAGTCACCGATAACAGCGGCTTACCCTCAAAACCGGAAACAGCCCAACACTGAACTAAAATCCAACTGGTATGAATTCTGCAACCGTTTCCCTCTCGCTTTGCTTTTGCAGACGTCCCTGTCTAAGGTGTTGTTCCGGAGGATTCCCAACAACTTTTAAAGCAACAAACCCCACTGAAGTGATCCAAAGGGTCCAGTTTCACCTGGTGGGAGAGGAACATGGAAATCCTGACAAGCCGCCTGCCTCCGTCTGCAGGTAGCACAGCTCTCTCCCCCTGTGGCTATGCCTGACTGCTGCTCACGCTCAGTGTGTCTTCCCTTCTCTCGCCACAGTCACTCGCACACCTAGAGGACTCTCAGTCCACACCAGATACCCGTCTCGATCACATGTGAATGCGCCAAACTGCTTCACAACAAGCTAAGGACATTTTCTTGGCTAAGCGAAAGAAAGAGCATTAAAGCCTGATGGCGATTTAGACATTTCTTTCGAATCAGGTTGTTGCTATGGAGTTAAGACTTTTTTCACTGAGCAACCAGTTTTCTAAAGGAAAGGGAAGGCAGCAGCCCAACTTTCTGACCAGGAATAAAGATTTC